CGAGACAAAAATGCAAATATATAGGATGATAGAGAACTCCACGCGCTTTCAGAATATATCATTACGTTTTGAAAAATATAATTCTACAGTAACAATATCCTCAAAATATAGAGAAAAGTTTATTCTTTCCAAGGATACATATCTGTATTGCTAATTAAAAGTTGAAATTTTTTCTTTACTTATCTAAACTTGTTGATAATAGAGAAATTCTTTAGTTAAAAACAAAAGGTTTTCAAGAGATATTTTTGTTTATTTAACATTGATCTTTCAAAAATAATTGATCCAAATACTTTTCTTAGATATATTCTTGCATAGAATATGATAATATTGTCTTCAACCATCGTTTTATACGTGAATAAATGGATAAGAACTATCAAGCAATCATAAATACAAAAATTTTATGCTTATTCTAGTCGAACTTTTTTCTCATGTTCATAAACTTCTTGAGCAAAAAAAAATCATATGATATCAACAAGTCTTAATATCTGTACATGTCAAGTGCATTAAAAAAAAATGTTCGCCTAGAGTCTTTTACTCTTTTCCATACATTCTATTGAAATTACAGCTAAAATAAGATTATTTCGAACTATACTTACTGTTTCGAAATACTCGCTTGATTCAACTCCTAAGTGAGTTAATGTGGTGGAATGTTGTTGTGCAAAATTAAAAACATCAATGAAATCTCGTACACCTTTTACTTTTAATATTCTTAAATTTGGTAAATAAGGCCAACATCTTAGTTGAAGAGGGGATGAATAACAATCAATGATAAGTGACTCGATTTCATTGAATCGAAGTAATGATAAGAATTTTTTGAATCGATGATAGCGCATAGATGATAAATTAACATGATTATAAAAACCTCGTTCAATTAATAATCTTGTTAGACGAATATTGAGATTATTGAAACACCATAAAGCATCTGCACAAGATAAATAAGAAAATATTTCTATCAATGATAGATCAGGCAAATCATCGAAGAGAGTAACCATATTATTATGAATTGAATGAAAACGAGAAATAAGGGGCAATTTTTTTTTTTTCTTATAGCCATTCATATAATATTACATTGCGGATGTTCATTTTGTGTTATTATTCTCTTCATTATGTTTGATAACCAATGGAAACAATTGTTCAATATCTTTCTTCTTTCTATGAAGAAAAAATATGAACATCTGACCACGATTGTTTACATTCATATCATATATGAATAATGAAATTTTTTTTTGTTTTTTGATTAGCGAAATTTGATCCTATGACCATGTCAGTCTTCAAGGAACGATATGAATTATAGGATAATACATAATCATCTTCACAAATTCGAACTTTGTGACTCGAAAAGGAATGTGAATCATTTTCTTCAGGATTTTTTTTTGTATAGATGAGTGAGAAATCATTTGTCAAGTGTTTATAGGAAATTCTAATGAGAAAGGATCAATAAGAGAAATTCTAGTATAGTATAATGTCAATTATGTCTCTCTAGCATAATTCTTTTGATGTTTTGTAAATTTGTGGGTGTGTGAATAGGGTGTGGGTATCTATTTTCTGTTCAGACCTCACATTCGCACCCTTCATGAAGAAAAAGTTTTCAAAAACCACATTTTTTTTGTAAACAAAAGTTTCGTGCCAAAAATCTCGGCTCTCAAATCATGAGAAATATTTGTCTGAAAGCAGAAGAAATTTGTATTTGGGCTAACTTTTTATACTCTTTCAAATGAGATAACTTATTTCAAAAAGTAAAGTTTTTCGGCAATGAATTTCGGTGATGGTTTCATGGACTCCCTCTGAATCATTTTTATTTGACTTGATATAACCTTTTTTTATTTTTATATAGAAATTAAAGGTTCACTTATTTTGATTATAGAAGAGAGCATCTCTGATTTTATAATCGATTCCAACCGCCTTCATTCAGATGCTTTTGCTAGTGAAAGTTTGA